AAAAAAAAAAAAGTATAGACATTTTCCACAATAACAATGAAATATGTGGAAGTCATGTGCTAATTGCCCTTCTTTATTTTAGAGCAATGTTCTCTCTTCATCTTGTCCCGTTATTATATTAAACATTAGAGGAGGATCATATGGCTTAGACACATCTCAGAAGAGACGTTTTATGATGAGGAAGATTTCAAGACATGTCACATACAAAAGATGTGGATTGATTGAGCACAGGAGAGAAGACGTGGTCCAAAACTCAATACTACACGAAAGCAGTGTGTAATTTAATTGTGTCTTTGACGGAAACTATGTGTGAGAACGTAAGTGTTACAAGAATTGAAGGTAGGTTGAAAACTTAAATGCTAAAAAAATGAATGGAGATCGAAATATTATACAAAGTGTAGTTGGAGAAGTGCATTTAATTAAAACCATAAAAGAAAAAAGTTAAGCAACAAATTGAAATGCAAAGGGACATATAAAAGAAGGATTTATAATGAAACTATGGAAGTACATGTTGAGAATTTACTTAACATGTACAACGAAAAAAAATTATTTTNATTGAAATGCAAAGGGACATAGAAGGATTTATAATGAAACTACGGAAGTACATGTTGAGAATTTACTTAATTTGTACTTCGTAAAAAAATTATTTTTCGATTTTCACCAAATATCTGTTTTGTGTTTAGATGAAAACTGTGATAAAAATTATACTTCTTATAAATTCTGCAAATTCCCTTGCTGATCATGGAACACGAACAATCACAATCAGCAATCCACAGCTGTCCAATTGTCCAACCTCCAATAAGAATTGACACAGAGAACAAGAGTGAGAGAATTTCGATTTTTCTTTACTTGTGCTAACAAGAATATGAATTATATTCTGTTCTATTTTTCTAAAACCCTAATAATTTATTAATATAAGTCCAAGTGGGCATGACCTGTCTCTTAAACTTAACTAGGTCCGATATTTAATTAATCCAATTAATTAAATTCGATCCATTAATTAATTAACCCAATTAATTAATTCGGTCTTATTAACAAACAACTCAATCAATTAATTGTACAACATTTGTTAATTAATTAAGGGAACAATACATAATTCC